ATGTAGCACAGAAAAGACAGCGTACAATTCTTTAACAATGATACACAAGTCAATTTCGCATCACAAGAATGCTCTTAACAATGATAACTTGGCAGTAGTTACATAAAAACTTTAACAATGATACACAAGTCAATTTCGCATCACAAGAATGCTCTTAACAATGATAACTTGGCAGTAGTTACATAAAAACTTTAACAATGATATACTTCAAATATATTTTAACATTTAAGCATTATACCAAAAATCAAGCATAAAATTACACTCTTGATTAGAATAATAATGAAACAAAAATTTAAAATATTTCAGTATTTCCAGTGAAAATTAATTTTCCGAAAGAGTAAATGAGGAATGTTTGCTATACAAGAAGAGATTTGGCATGATATGTTGTAAAGTACATCTGCAAAAGAAATAAATAGACTGGACATGACGTGTAGTGTATAATGAAGCAATCTTTATTCTAACAACACAAACAACAGTGTGTGCAGTCTACCTTTCGGTTGACGGACAATTGCCTGTACTTGAGAGGTGTATTTATCAAGCCGGTCATACTTCTTCAAGACTTTGTCCTAGCTGACTGACTCACCCAGGACTATGTTCCAGACTGACTAAATCTCAAGTTGTTTAGTTTAATTGGTAATGTCAGACTTATTCAGATCTATCAGTGCTATTCTGCCTGCGTAACTCTTCATTTCAATTCAAACATAAAGGAGGTTGTAACCTCGAGACATCATCTAATCTAACATCGGAGCACACTGCTGTTGACCTTCATTCACAAGTTGCAGCATTATAGCCATACCCCCTCCTCCATTGTTAGACCAGATGTTATATCCAAGAAATGACTGAGAACTATGAACTATGAGAGCTAGAACGAAATCAATTTAATGACTTTCTTGATCGCGTTTTATGTGAAAACTACACGTACTTAGTATAAACGAAAGTTTTGAAAAAATTCCTATATTAGAAGAAGAAGTATAAAATACACATAAATATACACAACAGCAAAATCACAAACACAAAACGAATCCTACACCAGTGATGCAACAATTTTATATATTCAGCCATATAACAATGAAACAGTACA